GGCATAGAGTCTCCGACTTGAACCAAAACATCTGCCAAGACCTCGATTGGTTGTTCCACGATTACTGTTTGAACTGCCTGAAGGGCTTGAGGCGGAACATCATCGGCGGTCAGAAGCTCGTCTTGATGGTGCGTTTGGAGAAACCGAAGGCCGCGACAAGGGAGAACGGCGCAACAAAGTGAAAGGCATAGAGGTAGGAGAGCCACGTGTCCGAGGGGGAATCAAAGGTCTGCCATGAAACAACGCCGTCGAAAGTGAGGAGGACGAGGTTTCCGAAATCTAGAAGCTTGAGGGTGAGGTTGGTGGTGGTGGCAGCGACGACAAATGTCCAGATAGTAGTGTTGAAGTGGGTTAACTTACTGGTTGGGGTGAGTTCAAGGGATGAAGCGGCTTGGAAGGGGGAGGGATGAAGGCGGTTGACGACCCAGATGGTGTTGGGGTTGGGCAAAGAGGTGCGGCGGATGTCGAGGTAGAATTTCGACGGCCTGGACTTGGGAAGAAATTGAAGAAGCCAAGTTGGAAAGTGTTGTTGAGGTTTTGCAGAGTAGCGTTGCCTTGGAGAATGATGGTGGCAGAGAGGAGGAAGTGTGGAGAATGAGAATGAAGAGAAGAAAAAAGAGGAACATTGGATGCAGTTTTAATTGACACCCAATCTTATGTCAGCCTCTAATTCACTGACACGTCACCACACATACAACTTAAAATTGACACGTTATCACTGCACTATGCCAGATAATCAATCTCTTAACTCCGTTTGGTTGTAAAGACCAATTTGACACACTTTTAGAAGGAAAAACCTAATTGAGAAAAATAAGCAAATCTGGGATATAAAAAGGCTATTAAGCCTATTAAAATTAATCAAACTTAAAAAAACTAAATAGAAATTAAATATTTATATATAAACCAAAAATAAAATTTAATTTTTAAATCGAAAATAAAAATACAATTATAATTAAAAACCTTTTTCAATCTCTGATTCCATGAGAATAACATACTTGACTAAGTCCATTCAAGCAGACAATATATTTAAACAGAAATATATTCCATATATCCTTCGAAAGCTATGATTCATTCCAAAACAAAACTTATCAGGCTACAAAAGACGCAAAAATACCAGATATATAATATAGTATTCACATGTTCGCATCACATTTTAGACACAGATCAGAATTTTCAAAACTTCTAATGAGAAGCACCAGACCGTTATATTTTCACCTAGACAAACCCTTGCCCCTAGAAATAGTAACATTGACCACACCATTCTTTTCAGATTTAAAAGCAAATTCTTTGAATGGACTTTTATAGAAGTAGCTTTACAATATTCAATGCAGATTAAAATAAATTGAAGAAATCAACTCTTGGACTAAGTCCAATTAAAGATTGAAATGAAATAAATGAGAAAATGACATCAAATATTAAAGAATATTTTATTAAATTAATGATAATGTAGCAATCATAATGGAAGACACTTCTAGAGTAAATGAAATTTATGTATAAAGAAAACAATATATATTTTGTCTTGGTAACCTCTTCAACCAGCTGCATGCAATATCAGTTATTTGATAATAATCTAAGTATATGTTTGTTCTACTAGCTTGATGTGTGTATATGGTTATGTTTTCACGTCAAATTATGACAAATATAAGAAAACCTTTAGATACACGAACTAATTTGAGATTTTTGATCCAATATATATGTTTACTCTACAATAAAGAAAAAAAAACATCTTTTCAATCTGAGTACTGCAAACCAGCTTCTACCTGCACTAATTTCTTTTTGCACCCATATAAAAATATTTCATTTTGATTGTGCAATGTAAATAAAAAAAAATACTTGAATTGTACAATTTAAAAATTAAAAAAGATTTATAGATTGTGTAATCCCAAAAGTTAAAAATAGTTTCCAGATTACAAAATCTAGAAAATAAATGATATATGAATTGTGCATGCCAGATAATGTATGGATGGTTCAATCCAAAAGCCAAATGACTTTAAGATTACATAATATAGAAGCTTTTTTTTTCTTAATTCTCTCAAATTTTGGAAGTTATTTTTTTACTTTTGGATTTTATAATTCATAAGTCATCTTTTACTTTCGAATGGTGTATTCTAAAACCATTTTTCTAGAAAATAAATATTTAGAAGTTATTTTTTAGTTTTAAGTTATACAATGTGAAACTAATAAAATAGGAAATTTTTTTATACAGAAATGCAAATAAATATATGAAATTCCAGGAAGAAACTTATCTCCATATGCTAGAGAGCTTCGTGAGAGAGATAATCATGAGACAAAATTTACAATGTGTCCAGAAAAATAATAACAAATTTGTTATTTATCTTTTAATAGAATTTCTAATTTATTAATTTAGTTATTTAAAATTCCTTTTGAAGTACTATTTGATCTTATTAGGAACTTTGAGCGTGGATAAGTGGCAAAATTTTAGTCGTTGCTTAATTTTAGTTGTGGCTTGAATTTTGATGGTCAGAATGAGGTTTTTTGCTTTTGAGTGGAGAGAGGTACACTTACCAAAGATTCTCCAACTTTTAAATCAGTAAGAAAATGTGTATTAAGTGTGTATTCCTTGAAAAATACTAGTTGTATTTATAGGATTCATATAGGTCGTGGACCTATGTTATCATTGAAATAATATTTACCTCAAAGTATATAATAGCAAAGTATATTTAATAATAACATAATAATACCTCATCAAGAATAATAATCATAATACCAAATTGTTGAGATTAGTTATGATATGTAAATATTGTTCCAATAGACATAGGTTTGGACTCTTCCAGAGTGAAGATGCTTAATAGGCCTTGTTGGAAAATGCTTTTTAGTATGTCTATTGGACCAGGTAGGCCATAAGTCTCCCTAGTCTAGGTACTCGGACACCGAACTTATCTTATACATTGTCTAATGAATTGTTCACTTTTACTAGAAAAGCTTAGTGTTTTTTCTTTTATTTTGTTTGAATGACTTGATGTCTTGCGTTACCTGAAGGGCTTTTAATTGGTTACTTGATGAAGTAACTCGATTTTCTTAGCGAAGTAGCACGGTGACTCGTCTGTAGGTCTTTTTTATGAAAGTTACATAGTGAAGTACCTTGGTGTCTCGCCTTGAGGACTTATGGTGCCTTGTTTGAAGGGATTTAGTGCCTCATGTGGAGGACTTTTAATGTCTCGCTTGGAGGGCTTATAGTGCCATGCTTGGAGGCTTTTGGTGCCGCTTAAGTAACTTGGATGCCACCTTTATGGTCATTTCTCATTGCCACCTTTGTGCTCTTTCTTTATAGGCACCTCCTAGTCTTTTATCATTGCGACCTCTTGGTCTTTTGTTGTTGCCACCTTTATGGTTTTTTACTGTAATACTTTTGTACTCGGCACAAGAACACCAAGTTGATCTTGTACTTAAGACTACTAGATCGTCAATTTTACTCTTATGTTTGGACACTAGAACACTAAGTTTGTTCTTATACCCGAACACTGAAAATGAATGGAACATATGCTTCTACAACCTTTTAATGTTCTTCAATGGAGTTTCTCTTTTGCAACATCTTTTTAAATTTATCACTATCCTCTCATCCTTTTAAGGATTACATCACTTGACCTATGTAAGGCTAGAGACATGATTATCACTATCATATATAAGATGATATGTGATCTCCGTTAAAGTAATAAATTATGGTTGAAGATCATGAATAAAAATATACAAAGAGATTTTATTTTGGAAGTTGTATGGATAATGATTGTTAATTTCAAGCGTGTATTCACCAATAATATCATATAAATGAATCGTTGAATTCAGTATTGTTATTAAGCCCAATTACGTTATTTGGTATAGGTGACTAATTATGTGAACATGTGAACACATTTATAGATTTATTATACATTAAAAACACTTTTCATATGATTTATTTTAAGTTGTTAACTCATTTCATTTCAGTAGCAATAAATTGGGTTCAATTTAGATTTGTTTTAATTTTGTTTCTGTAGCTAACGCGACTTTTGCTCGATGTTTTGAGCATCATTTTTTACATAGGTTTTATTTTTGACTGATTTTAATTGCATTAGTTTCAAAAAAGTTTAGGATTTATGAATTTAGTTAGAGTAGGCATTTAGGTCCATGTTTACTTTAGACTTAATAGAATATATTTAGCCTAAATTTTTACTGACCAAAAAATATTTTTTTAGTTTTTAGTTTCATAAATGGCCTCTTTTTCTTTTTATTTCTCTCAATTTATGAAATTGACTCATCTTCTTTCATTAACATTTTCTCCTTTCTTTATCAATGGAGAACTAATTCTTAAGAATAAATTCACATAATTAAAGATAACAAAATTTGAATTGAGTTTTGCATCAGTTATTTAATGTTTCAACTTATTTTCTCTCTAATTTCGGAATTTTACTTTATAGTTATAATTTGTGTTTTTGATTTTAGAAATGAAATTAAGAATTGATTGAATCCTAATTTGATATCTATGTACAAATTAAATTGAATAATATTTTGATTTAATTCGTATAATTGTTACTCAATTAATTAAATCCGTTAAATATTTAAATTTGGATATGAATTTTTTAGAGAAATTTGACAATAAGAATTATTTAGTTTTTAATATGAATTAACCTCTCCTCTTCTCTTAATTTGTTTTTGATCGCGATTACATTGTAATTTTGTGTCAATTAGTATTATAATTTAAATTTTGTTTCAATCACTATTTCAATTTAATTTTTCTTTTTAATATATGAATATTAAAAATTGAATACAATTTGATGTGTCACTGTGACTTAACCTAGGTTATACTTTATACTAAAAATTTGTATAAAAACTTAAAATCTTTATTCATAAACATGAACATCAAATCACAATAAAATTGATTGTGAGCTTTTATGTGAATATGCATCCGTTATAAAAGATGAATTTGTATTGCATGATTTCCAATAGTTACGGAAGTTTATATATATATATATATAAAATTGTTGCCTAAATGCAAATAAGGAGGTACCACTTCTCCACACTACTGCACCGCCTCACTTCTGTGCTCTACCTCCCAACACCACCATACCGCCTCACTTTTGTGCGTCTCCTCCCTCTCAACACCACCGTCTCACTTCTGTTCATCTTCCTCTCAACACCAGAGGTTAAGTTCTTGAATAGTGAATACAGGTTAGTATCTTTCACACTGAGCTATGCAATTTAGGGTTTTCCTCTTGTTTTGGTTATTTTTTTTTTTAAATTGATTTTATTACTTTTCATTTTCTGTCTATAATTTAGGGTTTAGGTTTTATTTTGTTGTCTGAGTAAGATTTGGTGAATCGGTATACAATTTGTGTTATACAATGTGCAGAGTTTGTTTATGGCAATGGGTTTCTCTGCCTGTTTCAATGTTTCATTTCAGTAAGAGATAGTGCCTTTTCTGCCTATTTCTATGTCCCGTTATTCATGCTTGGTTCTGTTTTAGAGAAAGTGTTATTCATGCAATAAGGTGTGTATACTTTTAACAATAGTTTTAAACTTACAGGGTTGGTACAGAATGCCAGAATTTTCAAGAAGTTCATGCCTGTACCACTTCAATAAAGATACTGTTAAGTAACTAAACTTAAATGAATCCTAATAAAGAAACATATGCATCCTGATGTTAACTCGATTTTATATCAGTATGAAAATAATTATCGTATAAAAAGCAAAAATACTTTCATAGATAAGAATAAAGTAAAAAGTAAAAAAGCTCACATTTACTGCTATAGGGAAACAACCAAATCCAATTAAAATTTGGGACTCGTGATGGCTGAAGAAAAAAATAAGTGAATTGTAAGGACCAACGTGTACACCTCTAACGTAGGTATTTGAGATCTCATCAAGATTCACCCTAGAGCATTTAGATTTCCCCTCCTCTGCAACATGTCGAAATGAAGAAGTCATAAAATGGTATGAAGAACTCGAGAGAAAACAAATCAATAAAAATATTTAAAGCATCATTATCAGAAAATACAAAAAGAGAAAGGTACGTTGAAGACAATAATATAGAACTGAGAAAGAGAAGAGAATAGAATTTGTATAAAATGAAAATGGTTTCTTGCATTACCTGTTTGAAGTACATATTTTAGTTTTTATACAGACGTAAAGCCTTGCAGACCGCACTATAGATCTAGCTAAGTGGAAGAAGCTTAGCATAATTGACTTCAGTAAGTTAGTTACAACAAATGGTGACAAAGAACCTGCAATACTAAGTGTTTACAACAGCTGGCTTAGCTATTATATCACCTATATAGTTAGGTCCACAAAAACACTCATATCACACATAGCAGAGTCAGGAACTACTTCCATAGTTTCACCTATACGATTTTGTGTGCACTCTTTACATCTTTTTTTTTTGTGTGTATTGGATGGTAAAAGAATGTTGATATGCTAATTTTTTGTAGTTTGGAACTTTGTATTGATGATATCATTTTGGGAATAAACTGTGGAAGGCGAAAAATTCCTGAAAATATAAAGTTTCTTTTCTTGCTAATATGTCATCACTCTGCCTAGTGGAGATGTTATATGTAGCAAATTCGTTTAATCTTTGTTGAGACATCGCTGATCTTAAATAAGTTTTTATTATCTTCAGCTTTGAAAATCTCCTTTTGACTGGAACAAATGATATTTTAATTGTTAACATTATTCTATAAGCTATATATGCATTTGGAAAAAATCTATTCTTTTTAAATTAACAATCTCGATTGGTTTATCATTTTCCAATCCTATAATTTCTCTATACTTTTCAAAAAATGAAAGAAGACCTTTTAGCTGTTCAATAGTTTCATCAATGCACATACCTTTTGATTGTAAATTCTTACTAACTGAGTTAGCTGCTAATAAAATGTTATGCCAAATATTCAAGCCTAACAAAAATTCAAAGTTTTCTATCTCATAAGTTACTAAACAATCAATTTCACTTTTTATTTTAGGATCATTACTAGCTTCAGCTAATTCAAATAAAGTATCTCTTATTTGTGAAGTTTGAAATCTTACAGCTTTCAAACTTTCAATACAACTTTTTCCCATGTGTGTGACAACGATTTAAGAGTTAAACTATGTATATGGTATTATAAAATTTCCACCATTTTGTAGAAGAAAATGAAGTATATATATATATATATATATGTATATGTATGTATGTATCATTGGGATCTTTTTAACAATAGATAATATATCACGAGCAGTATGGGCTAATGAGGCATGGGGATCATATTGGAATTGGGATCCAAAGGAAACTTGGGCTTTTATTACTTGGACTATTTTCGCAATTTATTTACATACTAGAAAAAATAAAAAATTGGAATATAGAAGTGTGTAAGTGTTTATGGGGTCCAAAACAAGGATTTTACTTATTTAACCATTTTGGAAGTTATTCCATCATTTGTCATCTATTTCAATTTTATTCATAATTATGTAGTTTACTTTTCATTATTTCGTTCATGTGTACTCCATCTCGATTTTATTGGGTAGAATACTTCAATTCTATTATATACATCTTAATTGTTTTTTAAATAAATTAATAGTTCTTTACTTATTTTTAATCACATGTTTATCTAGTGATTGATTTGTTTTTCTTCAAGATTCTCATAAGATTAGTTTACGATTTAAACCAATCAAGAGATTTAACTCTTAACACATCTATGTATCATATGTGTATATTCTTCCTAAGCTTCGTAGCATCCTATCGATTTAGTACCTCTAATAAAAGAATTGGAATATAGAAGTGTGTAAGTGTTTATGGGGTCCAAAACAAGGATTTTACTTATTTAACCATTTTGGAAGTTATTCCATCATTTGTCATCTATTTCAATTTTATTCATAATTATGTAGTTTACTTTTCATTATTTCGTTCATGTGTACTCCATCTCGATTTTATTGGGTAGAATACTTCAATTCTATTATATACATCTTAATTGTTTTTTAAATAAATTAATAGTTCCTTACTTATTTTTAATCACATGTTTATCTAGTGATTGATTTGTTTTTCTTCAAGATTCTCATAAGATTAGTTTACGATTTAAACCAATCAAGAGATTTAACTCTTAACACATCTATGTATCATATGTGTATATTCTTCCTAAGCTTCGTAGCATCCTATCGATTTAGTACCTCTAATAAAAGAATTGGAATATAGAAGTGTGTAAGTGTTTATGGGGTCCAAAACAAGGATTTTACTTATTTAACCATTTTGGAAGTTATTCCATCATTTGTCATCTATTTCAATTTTATTCATAATTATGTAGTTTACTTTTCATTATTTCGTTCATGTGTACTCCATCTCGATTTTATTGGGTAGAATACTTCAATTCTATTATATACATCTTAATTGTTTTTTAAATAAATTAATAGTTCTTTACTTATTTTTAATCACATGTTTATCTAGTGATTGATTTGTTTTTCTTCAAGATTCTCATAAGATTAGTTTACGATTTAAACCAATCAAGAGATTTAACTCTTAACACATCTATGTATCATATGTGTATATTCTTCCTAAGCTTCGTAGCATCCTATCGAGTTAGTACCTCTAATAATAAACCATTGAAATTGGGTATATTGATGGAAAATAATCTTCAAAGAAAAAACATAAAGTATACAGATACTATGAAAAAAAGAAGTTCTTGAAGGAATTTATTTTGGTTGATGACAAAAAATATGCAAGTTTATAAAAAAGAATTTGGTCTTATGGCGAGTTTGTTCCAGTTCTCACGAACCTACTAGAAAATAATTCTACTTATGAATTAACTAGGTTTAGAATTAATTAGGTTTCAAGGGTGTGGGAACGTAAACTCGTCTGATTTTCTACATGCTAGCCTACCTTGCTCACAGTCTTATGTCTTTCCATGTTGTTTTCTGTTCTCCCTATTATTTCATATGCAATGCAAACACTGTGTAGGTGCTGGAGTAAGGTTTCTTCCAATTTTTGAACGGGCACAGTCACAATCTTATTCCCCTCAGTCTTCTTCAACTAAGGCAAAATTTAGCAAAACGATGGGAGGTATTTCAAAATTGTTATTGGGTTTTGATGTTATATTTTTTCTCTGCTCTATTTTCCTTTTCCCTTGATTTTCTTATGCTTTGAGTGTTCGTAGGGACACAAACTGAGAGAGAAGAGAAGGTGTCTTTGGAGCTCAGCGAAGAAATTCTTCAGAGTATGGAAGTAGGAATGGCCTTCAAAGACTATGTAAGCAATTCTACCATTACGTTTTCTGTTCTTATTTTAGATCAGGGCAGTGCTTCTAATGTTTTGGGATTTGGCAACCTCAAATTTGTTTTTCATTGTACTCTTTTCCTTAATTTTTGTGTGCATATGTTTTTCAGAATGGTAGAATTAGTTCCTTGGACTTTCACAGGGCATCCAGTTATCTGGTGACTGCTAGTGATGATGAATCCATTCGACTGTATGAGGTTACCAGTGGAACGTAAGCCCCATTTTATCTGTAGCTCTAATTATATAGACAATTGAATGAATGATTAGATACAATCTTTTTATCCTGAAGTTTATTGACATTGTTGCATTCTCATATCGATTTACATCTCTAGTATGATTTAAGAAGATTGCATCATTATTTGATTTGATGTGACAAATACTTTCAATAGATTGGGTTTATTAACATTTATAAATGACACAGATGTAATTTGACAACTACAAATTGTTCCATCATTTACAGCTAAATGGTTAACATGTACTATGTAGCAAATTTAATCATGTTATTTGATTCTTTGAAATTTCTTGTCATCCTTCCGTTTTTGTAACTAATCTACATGTGTGCATCAACATATTTGCCATCAGTTGTTTGAAGACAATTAATAGCAAAAAGTATGGGGTTGATCTCGTTTGCTTCACATCTCATCCTACAACAGTCATATACTCTTCAAAAAATGGTTGGGATGGTGTGTCTCTTGCTTTCATCTTCAATGAACTTGGCATCGGCAGTAAATTTTGTATACTCACTAAAAATTTTCCATAAATCCAGAATCTTTGCGGCTTCTATCGTTGCATGATAACAAGTATTTGCGATATTTCAAAGGTCACCATGACAGGTTTGGTATCTGTCATTTTGTAATATATACATTTAAATCTCATATCATATAATACAATACACATGTTCATTCCATTTGATTGTTCTAAAAGAATATCAGCTTTTTGCCAGGGTGGTGTCGCTAAGCTTGTGCTCTCGGAAGGACTGCTTTATATCTGGTTCTCTAGATCGAACTGTTTTACTATGGGATCAAAGGGCTGAAAAATGCCAGGTAGTGTCATGTGCATGCAGTTACTTGCTTATTTTATGTCCTTTTGTTTATTATACGTCATATAACTTTTATAGGGGCTTCTTACATTAAAAATAAATAGGGACTGTTACGTGTAAAAGGAAGACCTGCTATATCATATGACGATCAAGGACTTGTCTTTGCAGTTGCCTTTGGAGGATTTGTAAGAATGTTTGATGCTCGCAAGTATGAAAAGGTTTGCAAATTCAAAATGAGAATACGAATATGTATAAAGCTTGGCTTTTGTTATCTGTTAATTGTGACATACAGTTATAATCTAATATGGTGAATTTCACCTGCTACAGGGTCCCTTTGAGATATTTTCCGTTGGGGGAGATACTTCTGATGCAAATGTTGTGAAATTTAGTAATGATGGGAGTCTCATTCTTTTAACAACAGCAGATGGGCATATTCACGTGCTTGACTCATTTCGCGGCACACTTGTCAGTATCTTTCCTTGTTTCACTTAATTTATTGTGCTTTGAATTGAAAGGTTGTGTGTGATTTTTTCTCTCATTACATTTACATAGTTATCCACATATAATGTCACGCCTGTCTCATGCAACTCCACATTAGAAGCTTCTTTCAGCCCCGAGGGAATGTTTGTAATATCTGGTAAGCATTTTCAGATCATTCCAAGAACTTGTGATCGTTATTCATTTGGTATACTTATTATTTGAACATTTAGATCTTTATTACACTGTTTTTTCTTCCTAAAATAGCGTTTTGGAAGAAAGATTTGGATTGGTTATGATTATTTTAAAATGCATGCATCATGGTGCGCTTTTTCTGTCTTGTATTTTCAATTTTTTTTCCTATTTATGTGATCCTGTTGGTTGCTTCTTACTGCCTGTGCTGGTTTGTTATGCTTAACTTGATAGTTTTACACTTCGATTTTTTGACAGGTTCTGGGGATGGAAGCATCTATGCATGGAGTGTTCGAAGTGGCAAAGAAGTATGATACGCTATATCCTTTCTTTGTCATAATATAGCTATTTTCTGTACATATTTTTGTTTGGATAATAATTTAATAACTGTTAATATAGTTTTTGTCCTATCAGGATGATATGCTTTCAACTTTACTATCATGTTATTCCTGTTTCATTTTTCAGAATGTTCTACCATTTGATTGTGAATACAGTAATTTATTTCCTAATTGCAAACTGATAATAATGGAGTGAGATTAGTCTTGACATGAAATTAAGCAGAAGAAAACACCCATAATCTATTATAGCAACTTATAATAATTTACTTATTACCTCTAAATGACTATGCTTGCGTGAGTATATTGTCAGATATAGTATATAATATATAGATTGCAAAAAAGAGTACTAGAGAATATTGAAATATAGTTTCAAACTAGACGAATCTACTCCTACATATCAGAATACATAAAAAAGCAGTTTTTACAGGACTTTTTCTTTCTTTTTAGTTGACATTAGATCTCACTAGACAACTAATCTCTTTTCAATAACTGTCTCCTTTTTCCTTCATTTGTGCCTACAGTATACATTAAGTCATAACTTTTAATGGGATAGGAGCCGGTTATAATTGTTAATAATTCTTTAGTATTTGTCCATTTTACTTTCTGAGTCTGTTTTATTGTATAGAAATAACAGAATACATTATTTTGAAGCCTGGCAAGTTGTGCGTGAAATTTGAACTTTTTAATTCCAATGTTAATTCTTTTTGCCTTGTCTAGGTTGCAAGTTGGAGGAGTGCAACTTCTGATACCGGACCTCCTGTAATAAAGTGGGCTCCTGGAAGTCTAATGTTTGCTACTGGATCATCTGAGTTGTCATTCTGGATTCCAGATTTGTCTAAGTTGGGATCCTATGTTGGAAGAAAGTAGAAACAATGCATGGTAAAATTATTGATTGCCCATCAACCCACTGAAAGGTAATATTTTTTACTGCCACAGTGACAAGTTTTGTCATGGTTTGTAAATATTCTTCTCTGAAGAGCAATGGGTACTTCAATGATCCTTCTAATCTGTACACGTTAAAATATTTAAATGTATATATATCTTCTTTCTGTCAACATGCTTGCAGTAGGTGTTCATTTGATTATAATTGCTCCACATGTTCCGCTAGATCATTGGTGACTTATATTGCTAGAGACTGCTTGTCCGTGCCCCTGTTAGTCAAGCTTTTAACCTGTCTTAGGAAAAGCTGATGGAAAAAAAACTGTCCTTGTGAAAGGTTGAATTCTGGTTTTGTTTCGGATTTGATGCTTACGATCATAAATTTGACATGCATACTTGAGGTAGGGAATCAACCACTGATTTTTTTTTCCTTGCTGAACTGGGGAAGGAGTTCCCTGCTTGCCTTTCTTCCTTATGGCTATGGTACTTTTCCACTTTCAGAAATATTTTGACCAATTTTTATGGGGGCTTCACCAAAAAATTAGTTATTGCAGAACTGTACTTCTGCTGGCAGCAATCAGTAGATGAGGGATTGTTGTGTTTTGCAGAGATGAGAGAATATAAGGGATCTTCTTGGTCGTAGTTGTTACCTAAGGAAAATATAAACTGCTTGGTTATATCTGTATGCAATGGAAGTTAATGAAGTGTCATGCCAGTCTGTTAAACCATTCTACTTGATCACCTCTGGGAGGAAATTATACTACAAATCCCAACAAGAAAAAGATAACTTAATGTGGTTGTTTTTTCTCAGACTCTTTTACTTCATGCAATTATTAGATATGAAATGTGTTTGGGTGCAAAAACAAATGAATTTTGAAAAGATTAAATTTATTTCTATTTTTTATTTTTTAACACTTTAATTAAAATTTTAAAAGTTTACCTCTTTTCCTATTAATTCGTTAAAATATAGTTTTATTTTCACTTAAAGTAAAAAAAAATTATTTGAATTTTTATTTTAAAGAATAATTTTATTGAAATTTAACAAATAAGATGTATTTATGGATGCATACATGTATAATTTTACTATAGATGTAGATGATTTTATTTTTTACATCAATGGGCAAAAATTTAACATTTTAGATTTAGAACTAAAATAGAATTTTTGTAACGTAGGGAAAAATTCTTTGGAACCATCATGCATGTGTCGAGCACCGGAGGAAGAAGAGGGTGCATTGGTGTGAAAACACGACCATTAAGAATTTTTTTTAAAATTATTTTGGTGTAATTTCATGAAATTACAGAAATGGTATAGACAAAAAGTTATGTTATGTTAATCGATTTTATTGTAGATTAGTTGAAGTTGTTTTAAGTTATGATGATTTATTTAAAAAAATTGAAGTTATCATAGTTTAAGATGACATGGTAAATTTATTTTATTACAAAATTGAAATTGTGTTAACATGTAACGATATTTCTTTTTGTTTATAAAATTTGTGATTAAGCTTGATTAAAGTTGTTTGAAGCAGTAAAAGAAGTACTGATGACTTGGCATTACTTAGGTTCTTCCACAATAAAATTGTTTCATGATACATTTGTTTTGAAGTTGGGGAAATGGCACTACTTGCTCAAACTCGATATATATTTTCTTTTTAAATTACAGTATTTTACTATTTTTGTTATTTTATAATGAAATTATACTAAAATGGCAAAAATAAACCATTTAGACAACTTACTTTCAAATTTCAATATTAACTTAAATTTCAATATTAACTTTTATAAGTTATGTAAGTAAAATACTATATTTACTTATTAACTTGCTTTTTGTGTTTATATTTTTTTTATATTTTTCTATTTCATTGAATTTTATTTTTCTCAAAAAAAAATTCAATATGATTTTTTTGTTATATTAATGTTAATGTTGTTTAAAAGTGTTAACATATCAAAATTTGGATCTATGTCAAAATCTAAATCATTTTCTATATTACATATCAATACTAAGAGTTTTAAAATGAAAAATGATTCTTATTTTGACACATAACAATTTAAATAATGACAATTTAACATAAGATATTATATTAAGTTTTTCTTGTGAAGAACTCAAATAAGTGAAAAACAAATGTAATAATAAAAAATTTAATTTTGAAAATTAAATTATTAATTAAGTCTAAATAGTAATAGTTATACATGTGATATTAAAATATGTTTTTAAAATATGTTTTTATGGTAAACTTTAATATAATTTAGTTCTTAAATTTTAAATAATAAATAAATATTGTTTTTTTATTCTGAATTCTAATTATGTTAAATTTTGTAGATGTATCAAATTAGTATTTAAATTATTTATGTTGTTTAATGTAGAACCATTAAATTCAGCTTTTAGTGGAATCCACATGTTAGTGTGAGGGTTTAAAAAATTCAGAAAGTGGAAGATAGGTTTGCGTATCTGGTTGGTCGATCGGTTTTTGACGGTAGTATATAAGCAAAATTTTCAAATGTTGAGCCACTTTTGCATGCACCTCTTCTCTCCAGAATTCTGAATTTTTCCTCTTCTTTCTACAATCTTCCTTCTTTTCTCTAAAAATCCTCACTTTATCCTTCTTCTGATCATCACCTAGGCTGTGTGTGAGTTCGTTCTCGGTGGCAAAAAGTTTTTTTCCATCAATCTAGTTGCTGTGTGAAGTGGGTAAGTAAACTCATTCGTTCTTTTTAAGTTTCGGTATTTCTGGAACATGCAAGCACTGTTAAGCTTGCATGTGTTCTTCATCTATCTTTTTCTGAACCTGTTTCTGTTTTAATCCTCTGGTTGGTCCTTTTTCACCGATCGAAATTGTAGTAGGTTGCTTTAGAAGTGGTTGCTGGTTAGTTAAAGTTGTAGAAGCTTAGGAAGTGTCTCGTTTATTCAAGGTAAGCGAAGCTAGTGATTTAATTATATTTTTCTGTGTTTGAAGTTGATGTGTGAACGTTTGCATGTATGAATGATGATATTTTTGATTGAATTGTATTCAAATTCTGTGTTTGGCCGAGACTTGTAAACTGGATTGGAGTTCCTATTGTAGAACGTTCGGTCAATCTGGGTGAGAGAACAGAGTGTGTGAAAATGTGAGTGATGAGCAATGTGTAATACGTTCAGTGGAATAGATTTAAAATAACTTAGAAATCACGTTTGGAGGGTTAGAAATTAAGAAAAATATCTTGTTTTGGTTTAAGAAGTGTTATTCAGAGATTTATTTTGTTGACCGTTCGACTGTGTTACTTACTCAGCCATTAACTGGGTTCGGTCTATTAGCAGTATTATATATTTATGACCATTCGGTCTAATCGCAGTGTTAGAATATTAAACTAGTGTTTCAGTCTGGATAGAGTATCCAAAAATCTCTAAGTACTCGATCTAGTATGATATTCGTTATAAGTTTTTAAGAGTTTTCAGTGTAAGTTATGATCGTGTTGTTTAAACTCTTTGGGTTGGGATAAGTGTCTAGTATTTGGTTTCTATGGTGGTCGGTCAATAATAGCGTTCGATTAGTTTCTTTTATTTTGTTTGTTATGAACCGTTCGGTTCTCTCGGTTGGGTAACTGTGAAGGTGTTTGGTCTCCAACGTTCACATGTTTTCTTTATTCTGTGAATGGAAATATAAATAATGAATGATAGATTGTGGTAAAAATGAGAAGGTTGAACTTTTGAATACTGTAGAAGAGAATTCCAAGGTGAAATGTCTCGTGTATGGTTATTGATTTGTAAAGTATGAATATGGATATGTTAAGCTGGCGTTCATCCTGAAATTCTATGAGTATCATTCTCACATAGATGGAGGTATATCATTTGTGAGAATAGCAGGAGGTCCTACCACCTCATGGTGTCGAGGTAGGTATTATGGGATTAACCTTGGGTAGTAGCTTGATTGGTGTCAGCTGTTACACTACCACAAGTGCAAGGACGACTGTAGCTACATATTCATAAAATCCGGATGGTCAAGTCATAGTGTTCGGTTTATATATATTTATATGAATTATGATGTTTTGGTTGTATGTGATGAGTTGTACTCATTGTTCTATGATGTACTGTTCGGTTTCATATGGATTGAACTTGCATGAAATGCATATATGTGTTTATAATTAAACTACAATAGCTTATCCTATTTTCTTGTTCTGTCTTGTCTTGTCCGTTCGGTTTTCTTTTCCCTTGCGATGATCATCCTGTTTATGTGAGCAGAAGGTGACGAGTGTTCGGTGGAGCAAGTATTAGAAGGCGAAGATCCTGTCGCTTAAGTTATGACTGCTCGGTCATCAGTTGTGTATAGTTTTAGAATGGACCGTTCGTTCAATAGGCTTAACCTATCTTTTGTAAACCGATCGGTTTATATAGGGTATTGTATCACCGTTCGATTTATGATTTTAAATTTTATCAGACTTATGTTACTTTGTAAAGTAAGTTTTATGGTTATTTTGGATAACTACAATGTTAAATACTTTACTAACTCTGATTGAACTGATCTATTTTATTATTATATGTGATTAATCTATGATATAATATTATGCTATATTTTGGGATGTTACATTTAACATGTTTTAGTTCAAATTTTGATTTAGAATATTGTGTAACACGTAAAAAATTAGTATTGTTGAATTAAAAAATTATATTCGTTTATTTTTAAAATTTGAGAACCAAAAATTTAAAAATTACAAATATATTTAACCCCTGATACTCATAATTAATTATAAATCATTTTTAACATAAGTTGTATAAAACAATATAATATATAACTTATCAGTTCCCATTTAAGAAAAAAAGTTTATTTTACACAAGTTATTTTTTTAATTGTTCAAATTTTTTCTATGAAAATTCAATTTCTGTCTCAGTTTTCTTGACTACAGAGAAAGATTGAGTCACGGGTGTAAATAGATACCATTATTGTCCTTGCAATAAGTAGGTGCAGTCGAAGGAAATGAGAAAAAACTAAGAAGAAGATGAACATGTACCATCCTCTGCACTACCTGAATTTTCATACTCAACTTTTTTTTTAATTTCAAATTTTCTCAATCTCCCGTTCTTCAAAATTCAATTTCTGTCCCACTTTTTCTTCACTACAAACAGAAGATTGACTCACGGGTGTAAATATATGACGAGGGTTGATATTTTGAAGTTCATTAAATAAAAGATTGTCTATTTAATAATTTTAAAAACTAATATTTTAAATTTATTTA